GAAAATTAAACCTTATTTTCAATAAGCAATCCTGAAAAATATTTGGGGGTGCTTAACTTTTTTCCAGGTGTATATATGTATATAGATGATTATTATTTTGAAATAAGTTCTTAAACTTATTTTTTTTAGACATAGAACAGTAACTAAAGAAGTAAAGTAAACAATTATCTCTTCTAGTTACAACCTTCATACTAGGTTGCTGCTTGATGTTGGTTGCTAAGCCTTTAAAAAATTTGCATGTGGAGGATATGAAATGAAATATTGAGTTGAATAACTAAAAAATCATAAATTACAATATTAATACCATAGAATTCCACTTTAATTTATCAAACTTAGTAACTAAGATGTATTTTAGTCAAAAAAATATGAAATTGCAAGCAGACCAAAGAAAACCTACCTTGTTGAAATATTGGTTCAAAAGAAATAAAGGGCGTCAACCCCGTTAAAATGGCCGAGAAAGCCACTAGGGGGACATTCTGAGCTTCCAATTGATTATTCATATCATATATAGAAGTACACAGCATGGTCACAAGTAAATAGACACCACCATTTCAGAAAAAATGAAATTTTTCATTCATATTCACATGAATTGATATATCGTCAATTTTAGATTGTGGGACTTTCTCCCACTCTTGCTTCAATACTTGGAGTAGATCGCTCTTCGATGTTGGTTTTTTTGGTTGTTTCTGGACTTGCCGGTCGAGTATGGCCCAGAAGTTTTCGATGGGGTTCATGTCAGGAGATTGGCTCAGCCAGGGCAACTTCTGGATACCATTTTCTTCCTGCCACTTTTGTGTGTTTCTAGCAGTGTGACACGGTGCTCCATCTTCCTGGAACAACGTTGTGTTCTTGTCCACGAAACCAGAGGAATAAAGTAGCAAGAGTCTTTCCTCCAATATTTTGACGTATTTTGCAAAATTTATGTTGCCAACGCACTCCACTAAGCTCGATCTCCCACCAATCAAACAGCTCCCCAAACCATCACGCTGAAACCACCATGCTTCACAGTTGGCTGCAATCTGTTGAGCCAAAACTCTTGGTGAGGCA